GGGGGTCTGAATACTTTCTGTACCCACTGTATATATATATATATATATACTGTATACAGTATATTAACCTCTGAAACTCTTTAAAAGATTATCATATTATTTATTACCAAAAAAAACACCAACATTTCTTACATAAACACATTTTTAAAATATATATAATAATAATATATACAAATAATATGTTTTTGAGGATGTTTTTTTCTGCATGTTGGTTGCATCGCATGACAGTTGGACCGCATGACTTAAGACATTTTTTCCTTTCAAATATTATGTTGCAGTTTTAAATATTAAGTAGTTTTGGTAATAATATCTTTCTAAGAAGTAATAATAAACAACTATGATTAACTACAATACGGGTTTCTTTTCAAGAAATTCAGAAGGTTTTTCTTCCAGGATTTTTTTTTATCACCCTGACATTTTTGACTAGATGTTACTCAAAAAAAATATTTATAAAAGGACATTTTAATAAAGAAATTCAAAACACACTCTTCAAAGAAGAACCGTTTTGAAATAGCTTGAATTGCATTTATATATATATATATATATATATATATATATATATATGTGAATAAAATAACAGATCCGGACCAAAAAATAAAGTCATTTTACTGACACAAAACCACACCAATAAGGTTCAGCACTCACTGTTAGCGCCTCCTCCAACAGCTTCAGCTCTTGCTCTAGGACCTGTAGTTCTGGGAACTGGCCTCTGTAGTCATCAAGGGAGGACAAAACGGCACCAAGGGCCTCCTCCAAACCACTGTCTGATGATTGTCCCTCCAAATCATCCATGGGCCTGGTGTCTACTAAAGAACCAGACTTCTCTGCCAGCAGGTCGTCCGTTTGTGTCTTTGTGAGGTGTGGCTCATGAGAGGAATCAGTCCTAGGAGCTTCGGAGTCCATCTGCTGGGACAAAGCATTAGCACAGGGGAAAGAGTCTTTGTCTCCACAGGTGGGCCTAGACGTGAGCTCTGTACTTTCAGAGTCACAAGCTGTGGTTTCTGCAGGAGAGCTACTTTCTGAACAGTTGAGTGGCTCAGTGGGACAGGATGGCTCACTCGTGGAGGGATCAGGAATGGGGCAGATCTCCTGAGTGTCTGGTACTACAAAACATAGTTCTGCTCGGTGGGGCATATCCATGGCAATGTCACTTACAAATACCGAAGAGACCACTGAAGTCACTTCATTGGCCTCCAAAGATTCCCCAGTCAGTCTATCTGTCAAAACACCATCTGCGCTGTTCTCGCTGATGTGGCTAAGGGAGCGAGAATAGCGGGGATGGCCATTGGGCACTTCCTGTTTCACCGGAGCCTCAGTGGTGACTGTTATGGTGGCCGTTGGTTTCTTCAGATCCTCCTCCTCGTCCTCTTCTTTCTGTTTGGCCAGGCGGGTGGGAGTAGAGGTGGCAGATTCACGGGGTGCAAATGAGATTTCAATGGCAGGAGGAGCAGTTTGTACCTCAGGCTGTACTAAGTTTTTGTGTGCATGGCGCATTCCCAAGGAAAGCTGAGGACTGGAGGAATCGTCAGAGGATTCGGAGGAGTTTGACCATGCCGTTCCGTTCTCCATCTCCTCTTGTCTCTTCAACATATTCTAGAGCGGAAGAAAGAGATTATGAAGACATAAATGATTATACATTATAAATAATTTACGTAAAGACCCTTTCACATGACTCACAGTAATGTTCCTCAAAGCATCAAACCCTTTGGAGCAAAGCTGTTACAGCGTTCAAATTTCAAATAGTTTCAGCTGTCTAAATACTCTGAGTTCAATGGACAAAGCTGATGACATTCACTACCATTCAAAAGTTTGGGGTGGGTGATATTTTTCTTGACAGAAGTCTCTTATGCATACTAAGGCTGCATTTATGTATGTAAAACATAATGTATGCAAAATGTAATGTATTCCTGTGAAGACAAAGCCGAACTTTCAGCAGCACAAAAATGTACATTACCGTTCAAAAGTTTGCAATCAGTGAGATTTTGTAAAAAAAAAAAAAAAGGATATATATCTTGTAATCACCAAGGCTACATTTATTTGATCAAAAATACATTAAAAACAGTAATATTAAGCAATATTACAATTACAATTCTTTTTTATTAAAATTCTAACGCTTTTCTATTTTAATGTATTTGAAAATGTAGTTTATTCCTGTGATAGCAAAGAATTTTCAGCAGTCATTACTCCAGTCTTCAGAAATCATTCTAATATGTTGATTTGACGCTCAAGAAACAATTTCTCATTACGATCAATGTTAAAAACAGTTGTGCTGCATAATATTTTTGTGTAAAATGTCATACTTTTTTTCAGGATTTTTTTATAATGTTTGAATGCCCGCCCAGGATTCATTTTGAAATATAAATATTGTACATTATAAATGTCTTTACTATCACAGCTAATTAAATATATATATATTTAAAACTAATGTATAGCAAAAAAAGTATGATATTTTTCACAAAAATACTATGTAGCGCAACTGTTTTTTAACACTGATCGATAAATTAATTAAATATATATATATATATACACACACATTGTTTATATACATATATATTATATATAATACATTGTTTTTCTTTTGATGAATGGCTTGATGACTAGAGTGAACTAGCTTGCCTTACAGAGACTTTGTAAAAATATCCTTCATGATGCTAGTGTTGAAGCCCTGATGGAGTCATGTGAAAGGCCATCATTTCATACTCTACTATAAAGTTCACAGTGAGAGATATATGCTAAAATAATATCTGAGGACTGTGAGCAGACAACAGGCTTTTTTTTGGAGGGAGAGGAGAGAACAGTAGGATGATAGGAGTGTGTTCACTGTCACTCAGCATTAGTGTGTATCTTTGGACACGGAGCTTCATTATAGTGGAGAGCAGACTGGCGTCAGGCCCAGTGAACTAACACACTCCCTGCTCCCTCTAATTAACTTCCCTCACTGGGCTAATGTGAACACCCTTCAAAACAATAACAGCATCAATGAATGCATTATTGATGGCTGTAGATACTACTATTGTCACTCACAGTTGGACAGACAACGAATAACATGCACAAGAATCCTATTTGCTCTATTTAATTAAAGACAACTGACAGTAACTACAGGACACGGTGGAAATCATCACTACAACAACTATAATTTCCTAGACAGACAGCAGACACTACTCATTACCAGAAGGACCATACAAACCTGTTTTTGTCACACCTTTTCAGCCAACTACTGACTACAACCAAAGCTACACAACTAGGTCTATGGGCCGACCGCACTTACATGGCTGGAAAGCAGAGAGGACCTCAGGCGGATTGAGGTGACATCGCTGCATGAGCAGCTCTGAGTCAGTTTCTCTGTCAGTGTGTCTCTGAACACATCCAGTAAGGACCAGCGCTGTTTGGACATCATGCTCCGTGGAGCTGTCTGCACGCAGTCAGCGGGAGAGCATGAGAGTTTTGAGCGGGCTAACGCTACATCACTTTTGGTCTATGGTAATCTGACCTAGCAAGTTATGAGCTTTTCAGACATCCATTTTCATCTAATTCAGCAGAGCTGACCTGAAATGGAGCCATTATATGTTACCATGACCTTGAGAGATAAAGATGCTTCTGAGAAATTACTACTATTAAATCTATGTGGAGCCTATTGTGCTAATTTAAATCTTAAGAGGGTCTGGAGAACTGCGAGATCTCCATTAGGACAAAGGAGAGAGATCTGTGGTATATTGACATTATGGTGGTGTGCACTTAGCAGAAATGTCTGGCTTGAATCAATTCATATTAAATGTATCATTCTTGAACATTTCAAAAGCAAAGCACATGAGTTATGAAAGCAGATATAGTCGAAGGACATTAAATGTCTGGGATTCAAAATAAACCTTGAAAGGGTTAAATATTACAGGTCAGAAAAATATTTTTAAAAAGATATTTAAGATTCTGTACCATTTTAAGGTAACTAATCAAATACACAAATGTGTGCTATTGATCATGTGATTCATTGTTCCTGGTTCCACTGAAGCACAATATGCTCTTTGGATCATTTTCAGATCATGCAGGAGAAAATCATCACCAGGTCTGCAACAAACTTGAGAAGTTTGTGCAGCTAGTGTGCTGCTGTTTTTTTTTTTTTTATACTATAAACAATGTACATGTAAATACACTTTTAAAAATGTAATTTCCTCACTTTTTCACTTTCACTACTGTAAATGACAGAAAATAAAATGTACAAATTATGTAAACTATATTTATTATTATTATATTAATAAATATTTGTTATTTTATTTAATATATTCTAAAATTAAAATATACAAATTATAGAAAATATAAAAGATTAAAAACCATTGTAGATTCAGGTTGTTGGTTAAAAATATGTATTAAAAAAAGCATTTATTGCAGGTTTGCAATAAATATAAATATAAAGGTCACTGTATATATTCAAGGGACAAGGGATTTGGATTTAAAAGGACTGGACAGTCAAAAGAGTACATGTACTGCATGGACAGACTCACATAGAAGGCTTGTTCTCGTAGAGAGGGTGTGTCTGGAGGACTCTGGTTGTAGGTAGAGAAGCGTTTGTTGACAGTAGGAGCTTTGGACACAGTGCTAGCTGAGGACGACTGGTCATCTTTGTCGAATGGACTACAGCAGAAAAGATAGAGGGGTTCATGTTTACAGTGCATTTAAAATAAAATTAGTTTCCTTCTGAAAATGCAGCTACAAGATCTGGCAGTGGGTGACATTTGATGTGATCCCTCTGCTGTACTTACTTCCAGAGGACTTCTAGACTGAGCTTAATGGTGCCCAAGTCATTAATATCCACAGCTACTGTTTGGGGCAGGGCAGCGAACAGGTCCTTCGTCTCACACGAGACGCTTCCCACGACCACGTGATTGGCCAGACTCTTCAGCTCCGTCACCTTGACAACCACATACGAGATGTTTATTTAGGAGGAAATGTCATCATCAGTTTAACGACCAGCACAATGTCACATGTTATTTATTAAAATGACATGTTAATTATTGGGAAGTTTGTAGAACTTAATTTTATCCTTTGAGATTTTACCAAACTTTGAAGAATGTGTGTAAACAGGTTAGGGTATGATATTATTTTTATTTAAAATGTATTTAAACAAAGTTAATTTAATTATTGTTTTATTTTATAATAAAATTAATTGTATTCTTTAGAATAATCATGCAAAATAACACATCGTTTAGGGGCACAGTTTCAAAAAATAAATAGGATACATTTTAATTTCATATTGTCTTTAAATGCTGACAGTTTGGATCCTCAGGTCGGGCATATGGTTTCAAATTATGGAATCACACTGCACTTTGAATCAGACCCAACAGTACATTTTACATCTCTCAGGCCAATCGAAAACATTTTGACAAACATCAGCTGCATTCTCTTCATTCCTCCCCTGGAGTCTCTGTTTTAATATCACTGTCTTCTGTAAACTTCCCTTCACTCTATCCCATGCAGTCTTCCTGTCTCTATCCCCCTGCCTGTCTCTCTCTCTGTCCTGGAGTGATGTTCCCTTTCTCTCACATGTAGTTATGTGTCATGGAACCATTGGGAGAGAAAAACAAGTCAAAATCCAGCTGCTGTGCTGTTATGTGCATTAATCTCTCACAGATTGATGTGACTGTGGTGCACATGTGAGTGTGACAGGAAGGTCAGACAGAAACTAAAAGTATGTGAATAGTCTGTGAAAAACATATGACAATATACGAGTGAATGTAAATGTATTTTCATATAAAAACTACCTTTATAGACAGGAACTCTGTGATAAGGGGGAGGAAGACCATCTCCTCACTGTCCCACACTTGCTTGCCATTGATTTCAATCCGACCTCGCAGCTTCCACCGCTGACGACCGTACTTCATAAAGATCTGTGGAGGTATTAAAAAGACACCAAAAAATCAATTAACAAACAATTAGAATTATATTTTATTCCGTATACATTTTTTACATTATTATTATATTTCAATTTATAAGCTATTTCTACTAGAAAACAAGACAAAAATACAGCTTTTTTAAAAAACAAGGAAAGGAAAAAAAATTATATATATATTCTATCCTTTTGTTTTTTTTCTTGTATTAAAAAAATATCTTACAGAATTACAAGCTTTTTAAATACTTTAAACAGATTTTTTTTTTCATTCATTCAGGTGGAGAGGAGAAAGAAAATCTTGGCTTTTGTGTTTTTTTTTCACAGTACAGGCAATGAACAGTGTGAGAATAACAGATGGGTCGAATAAAAAACAAGTCTCTGCCACCCACTCTTTCATCCATTTCTAGATCTTCTCGAGTCAATTTCTTGTTCTTTTTCACACCACCTCCCTCCTGTCACGTCTAAAAACAAGGAAAGGAAAAAAAATTATATATATATTCTATCCTTTTGTTTTTTTTCTTGTATTAAAAAAATATCTTACAGAATTACAAGCTTTTTAAATACATTAAACAGATTTTTTTTTTTCATTCATTCAGGTGGAGAGGAGAAAGAAAATCTTGGCTTTTGTGTTTTTTTTTCACAGTACAGGCAATGAACAGTGTGAGAATAACAGATGGGTCGAATAAAAAACAAGTCTCTGCCACCCACTCTTTCATCCATTTCTAGATCTTCTCGAGTCAATTTCTTGTTCTTTTTCACACCACCTCCCTCCTGTCACGTCTCAAGAGGGCTCTTGCTGAGCAGACTGCTGACTCACTGCACTGATTGGCATGTCAGTCACTCTAAAGCTCTTGCATGTTAAACAGGTGGAGGTGGGGCTGACACATTAACATTCGCCCCTCTTTAATTATCCTATGCCTCCCCAAATCTGTTCTTCACTGCACAGAGCAGATGCCGAGATCAATCAGTGTCTGTCTCTCTCGTAAGCAGTCATTTAGCGGATGCTTACATCCAATGCTAGCTTAAGGATACAATGGTTATGGCTCATAGATTGCCCTGAGAGGGGTTCAAACCAGCCAGACCTTCAGTCACCGCTATCTGTCATATCTGTCGCTGACAACAGTACAAAGCAGATCAATAGTGTTGTGAGGCTGAACACCAACCCTCAGGAGCATCTCAATGCATCTCAAATGTATTGTTGTATCTTTACTGATGAATTGTGCACAATTCGATTTCATGCTGACTATAAATGAGAGAGAAGGTAAATTATAGCAGCAGAAGCAGCTCACCTCATACTGATCTCCAGCACAAAGTCGTGCAAAACCCGCCAGGCCTGAAACAAAGGCATGCATCATTATTTAAATACGGCACACTGTTAAGATCATGAAACAGAAATTAAAGCAGATGTGTGATATGAAACTGTAGGAAATTGCAAATTAAAATTACTCTAGAATGGAACATTACCCTAGTATAGAGAGACTGTCTTACCCTTCATTTTGACATGGAACTCCCCCAGCTGGTTCTCCAGCTCACTCTCCAGCATGCACATATTCTGCAGGGACAGAGACAGAGAGTAAATACAAAGGAAAAGAGACTTAAACATGAAATGTGTTGAAACAACAATGTATCATACTACAGTTTGAACCGTTTATCATGGAATAATGCTTACTCTTCACTTAATAAAAAAATAATAATAGGCAGTACATAGTATACACTGTCAAGTATTCAGCAAATAGTAATAGCCAGAGAGAGAGGGAGGAGAATAATAAGGAATCCTACAGTTGAATGCGTCTTGCAGCAACCATTAGGGTAATGAAAAGCACTTGACTGGGAAAGGATGTCTCTCTTAATCAGATTGCCTCTCTGCATTATATCCATGAGCATATCGAATGAGTCTAGCTCTGCCCTGTATCCATCGGTCCGGATGCAAAAAAACAGTGGCCTAAGCTATAATCAGTAAAGTGTAAGTCTCAACTTCCCGATAATGTCATAAAACCAATCATATTTTTCAGGGTGGTAATTTTACTGGAACCATATATTGCAAAATTATTTCTATATTAATCTCTCGATGTTTATCTTACCACTGGAAAATAAATTATTTGACTGTTTACCCGCAACTTCAGTCCCTCATGCCTTGTAAAAAACACGTTAAGTGGATTCAATTTACCATCACTAAACTGAAGTGGATTTCAATTCTGAATTGGTTACAAACACTAAAGTAGATTTCAGTTCTTAAGTGAATTTAATTTCTGAAGTGGATTCAGAATTTCAGTTCTGAATTGGATTCACTTTACTAACACTAAGCTGAAGTTAATTTCCGTTCTGAAGTGGATTCAGTTCTCAAACACTAAACTGAAGAAAATTCTAGTTCTAATGTGGATGTAGTGTACTAAGACTAAGCTGAAGAAAATTCTAGTTCTAAAGTGGATGTAGTGTACTAAGACTAAACTGAAGAAAATTCTAGTTCTAAAGTGGATGTAGTGTACTAAGACTAAGCTGAAGGAAATTTTAGTTCTAAAGTGGATTCCGTTCAGTAACACTAAGCTGATGTGGTTTAAGGTTACTAACAATAAGCTGAAATAAATTTTAGTTCTAAAGTGGATTCACAAAGTGTTTTGAACCCTTTTAAATCCTACGTACACTGTTTACTCTAATCTTGTCTTTGTTCTTGTCTTTATTGACAAAGTCCATAATTCCTCTTCCACCCATACTTTCATCTAACCATACACTCTTACCTCTGTGTACTCTTTGAAGCTCTTGTTAGCTTCAGACAGACTCTCTCTGGCCTCCCTGCTGCCTGGAGAGGCTGTGTAAGCCTTCACCATCTTATCGGCTCCGTCTCTCAGTCTGCGCTGCATACAGTAGGCCTCATAGAGCTCGTCAATCTGCGTACACAACATCCAGTGTTTATTACAATCAATGAAAATATATTAATCATGTACAATATTGATGTGTGTTCATAACAAACGTCTTCAATAACATTCCCTGAAAAATCCATCTCCAGTTTAAAATTGTCAATCTGGATTTTGTAACATGGTGGCTGGTCAACCAAATAATGACCATGTTAAATCAGCTACAAACTAACTACCATGTCCCAAAACACAGCTGCAACTTAAGTTGAATTTTCCAATAAAGTTCAGTATTTTTATGACTTAATGAGGTAGCCACAGTTTAGTCTACATCCAGATGGTGACACTGACTGATTAATTGCATAATGCACACACATGCACCAGCCACAACACATTGTTGTTAAATCTTTTCTTGCCCAAGTACTTCCTGCTGGGCCACATTGTCTGCAATATAAGTAATTTAGATTTTATTGATCTATCAATAAGCAGGTCTGCAAATGTGGAAGTCAGTAATGGAGACAGGAAACTGTTAAATCTCCACATTATGTCAACTAAAATTTAGGCAGATGTTTAGAGTAAGAGACGCTATCATTACACACAGTAATTTGGTAATTGTTCACAGCACGAGTCCTGTAATTCAGAGATTAGAAAAAGAATGAGCTGTCCATTGTAAATGAGTATGAATGAATGAGAAGCATACAAACAGTATGAAAGCTCCATTCACTTCGCTGGAAGAATGTTTAGCAGGAGAAGGGAGGTGTATAAGGAGGATTATGACATTCAAAAGCAATACCCAACTGAGGGTAATCACAAAAACACCACTGTTTAAGCTTTGCAAAGAATGGCAGTATTTAGTCAGTCAGAAATTACTGAACATGTATACACTCTTCTACTATAATTAAAAGCAAGGCCATAAATTAAAACATTTTGTATATATTTGTGTGCCACCATGCTGGAGCCAAACAAACAAACTAAAAAGGGAAAAATAGTAATAAAGCATTTTTCTTTAATTTCATGAACACAGGTTTTCTTGTAGGTATGTATACTGGTTGTTCACACATATGCATAAATGCACAAGTCGAGAAACACAAACACACACAATCCTCGAGATTGAAGGCGAGAACAGGGGTGAAAGAGTCTGCAGCACTTAAAAGGTTTCCTGCAATAACCGAAAGAAGGACGAAGGAAAGACAAAGTGAGAGAGGGAAAATATTCATCTTAGTGTGTCCATCTGGAGGTGGTTAAAATCCGTCCAGTGAGCGTGTTCCAGCACACTGGCAGGGAGTCAACGGGACAGTTGTAAATTTCAGAGTTATGACAAGTGCCTCTTCTGCTAATACACACTGCTACACAAAACTGATAACAACATGCCTCTTCATTCTCATTTGTCGTAGACCATAGCCAATACAACAAACACCACCGTCCCTACAAAGCACCTGAAAGTTTGTTGGGACCGTCGTTAGCACCGCTTAGCAAAGTCACTTAATATTAAGGGATTTTTTTGGTACATTCTCACTTTGCCCTGCCTCCCCTAAAATAGAGGCCCCAACATATCTGAAAAGAAGGACGAAGGAAAGACAAAGTGAGAGAGGGAAAATATTCATCTTAGTGTGTCCATCTGGAGGTGGTTAAAATCCGTCCAGTGAGCGTGTTCCAGCACACTGGCAGCGAGTCAACGGGACAGTTGTAAATTTCAGAGTTATGACAAGTGCCTCTTCTGCTAATACACACTGCTACACAAAACTGATAACAACATGCCTCTTCATTCTCATTTGTCGTAGACCATAGCCAATACAACAAACACCACCGTCCCTACAAAGCACCTGAAAGTTTGTTGGGACCGTCGTTAGCACCGCTTAGCAAAGTCACTTAATATTAAGGGATTTTTTTGGTACATTCTCACTTTGCCCTGCCTCCCCTAAAATAGAGGCCCCAACATATCTGACCAAGCAAAAGCATGGAGACTCCGTTTAGTGCCCTCCGCTCATAAAACGCACACTAATCACACATGAAATGAGGCTGTGAAGGGAAGGGAGGAAGAGGAGGATCGAGAGGAAAGCCTCTTCCTGTAGTGCAGCTGGCTTGGGTTAGTTTAGGCTGTTAGTTCAGACTCCAACAGGTCCAGTGGAGGGTTTAGCCACTCCCCAAACAAGCCAAGAATGTGAGCAGACCCTGAAGCTATCCTCTGCCTGTGACCCGTGTCCCCTGACATGTGTGAGCATCCATGTGCGTAAAAAAAATCTGTCTGAGAATGTGTCCTCAGTGAGGAGGAGGATTACGCTTTGCTGTATATCCTGTAGGTGACTATTTATCAGGAAAAAAGTCACTGTTTAGACGCAGACACGTACGTGCATGAATGCATGTGCACAACTGAACAGAGGCTGTTATCGGGGCCACTAGGCCACGCAAGAGCAGTCACTAACACAGAGACATCTGAACAAGAACAGACCTGCTGAGCTACAAAACACACATGCAACTCCGTTTGACATGAGTGGCACATCCTGTGTCTGCTCACAGAAATATTTCAAGAATTTTTTTTTTTTTTAATCTAGTAAAAAAAAACAAAGTTCTTTGAAATGTAATATGTGCTGTAAGGTTGATTTCATATTTATAACATAATATTTTTACTATTACATATATACACTCTACAGCTTTATCCTACTTTTACAAATTTCATGAATATTAAATTTGGCGTGGTTTTATACCACTTGTACATTCAAAATATTTGCATAGATATGCTTTACAAATGATTTGCATTTCAGTTAAACAGCAAGTTTACCTTACTGAGATGAAACTCCAGCCGTCTCATAAATCTCTCGATTACTTTCACTTGCTGAGAGAACAGAGAACAACATTTATAATGTTCAAAATATTATTTACAGGCATCAGCAATTCAATAACATGAAATACGAGTCGATGGTACTAGGCTTTTTTGAGTGTAGTCTCTAAACCAAATATAAAGTCAGATGAAAAGAAGGAAGCGTCCTCTCACCTTGTCAAGTTCATACAAAAAACCCTACAAAAGAGCAACAGAGATATTACAAATCAAACATTAACATAAAAAAATACAAGGAAAGTGCTCAGATTTGAATAGCTTAGTACCATGAAACAGTCCTTCCCGAAACATCTTCACGGTTGAAAATATATATTTTTTTGTTGTTGTTGTTTTTGTTTAGACTTACCAAGCGAGAGTTTCTCTTAGACTCCTTCATTTGTCTGTTCAGACTGTCCAGCTCCATCTGATGGACCTGCAGGTAGGATCTGTAAAAGTATGTACATCAGCTGACAGTATATGTGCCACTGTCAGTGACTAATAATGTATTGTGCGAGCATAATCGTGTTTTATAATAACTCTCTGTGAGTGTGAGCAACTGATAACATACTGTATTACTTGTCTAAATTAACTGTAATGGCAAATCCACAATTCACATATTTGTGTACATACTGCAGTCCTCTCTTCAGGGCCTCGTACACCTCGTCCAGCCTCTCAGGCTGGGGCACCTTTGGAGGAGGAGATTTAGTAGAGAGCGTGAACATCCTGCTTACTCTGGAGGGAGTCTTCCTTACACACGCCGGGGTGCTGAACACAGAAAGGTTCCTAGGACATATATGAGCTACATAAATCTTAAGTATACATTTCTCATTTTTGAGGTCATTTAAAAACTTTCTCTAACCCTAGTTTAATGTGAGTCAACTATAACAGTACGTTTGTTTTCTTTTTTACACAAACCTAGTCAGGTTAACTTTTTTATATATACAGTATACAGTGGGGAAAAAAAGTATTTAGTCAGCCACCAATTGTGCAAGTTCTCCCACTTAAAAAGATGAGAGAGGCCTGTAATTTTCATCATAGGTATACCTCAACTATGAGAGACAAAATGAGAAAAAAAAATCCAGAAAATCACATTGTAGGATTTTTAAAGAATTTATTTGCAAATTATGGTGGAAAACAAGTATTTGGTCAATAACAAAATTTCATCTCAATACTTTGTTATATACACTTTGTTGGCAATGACAGAGGTCAAACATTTTCTGTAAGTCTTCACAAGGTTTTCACACACGGTTGCTGGTATTTTGGCCCATTCCTCAAGAGCAGTAATGTTTTGGGGCTGTCGCTGGGCATATATATATATATATATTTGGAATTTTTAAAAATCTAAAATAATATTAATATAATTTTTTATCATTTTAATTAAAATATATTAAAATAAAACAATAAATGAAGAATACATTAATTTAAATAACATATTAATAACAACTGGAATTTATAGTAAAAGCAATTCTTATTTTACCTTATTTTCTCATATTTAAATCAGCAGAATTCACAACTATAATGTTGAAAACATCACAGGAAACCAAACATTTGAGTCTGCATGGCATAAATTTTGGCAAAAGATTTTGTGACAATGCAGAAAAAGACCTGTAAGGCAAGTGACATTCCCATTAACCGGCCAGAAACCCTCTCATCATCCTTATGATTGATACCTGAACTAATGTTGGGTGATATGCTTTATAATCATATCGTCAGCCTGTGAGATCGCCTGTGAGATATTATCGTGCTAACATATTTATTTATTTACTTTGCTCACTCTTTCATAGCCGGAGAGTGGACCAACTGTGGGGTAAGGCAAAAAGCAGCCTAATGTTAGAAAATATCATGTCAAAGTATTTTTAATATGACTGAATTAGCATTTACTAATTATAATGCTTACATTTCCTCCTTTATTCAAACAGCAGCTACAGAAAATGATCAAAGAACATTTACATTATCAAAAAGAACATGACTTCAGCCTAGCACGAGTTTATGCACTTTAAAAAACACTCTCGTTATAATCAGTGAAGCGATCTACACTGTATGATGAATAAATCTCTTATTCTTACATCGCTACACTTACAATACTTTTTTTACGAAAAATAAATATGATGGAACAAATAAACCCTAATATTAATTAGATAGTATTACTAGCCTGATAATAATAATAATAGTCTTGTTATCGTCAAAGGCATCAGCGACAGGCGATATCTCTGACTATCATCGATACACGATACTATCAGTCTATTGGCACAACCCAACCCTGAACTATGAGTAATCATTGAGTTTACAATAGGACCACCTGTTTTTTCAACCAATGGAAGATGAGGGGTTTGAATGCAAAAAGTATTTCAGTGAGCCAGGGAAACAATCTCTTATCAAAATCAATAGCGCTTTAGAACAACACTTGTGCTGATCGATTCAAGCTGCAATTACTTCTCCAAGATGACAGACAACTCAATAAACTGGAGAGAAACACTTATGTGTCTTGACACAATCTTTTCCTTTAAAGCCGTATGAGGAAAAATAGCAGAGAACAGCTCAGGATCTGCAGGTAAATATAACAGTAAAGCAAGTCACAGTAACAAAAGGAACTAAATAACGCTTTTGAAATATACAGAATAAGACATAATACTAATAAGAACACAGAAAATATGGGAATGATGGGGAAATCAGTCATTTACCCAATTATTATTCTTTATTTTATATTTTTAACCCATATTACTCTGAACTCATATTCGTGTGTCTATCTTTCATCCTCCCGTTCATTCTTTCAGAATCTCTTGTTCAGCGATCCTCCCTGTTGTCCTGATAGTGGCCTTCTTAAATCTTTTATGCTTTCTCTGTCTGCTCTATTTCAACAGCAAGGGTTTGAAGAGAACTCCACACGCTTTTGAATCAAACTACATCAACCGCAAGAGTCAGTGCTCAAGAGCCACTCAGCCCCTCTAAAAAATTAACATGATGCCAAATACTTACCTTTAAAACACATCACACATACACTTGAACAAAAACAATGCTTATTTATTCAATAGATAAAAAAGAGAAAATTATTCAACCAAGTCTGTGTGGCATGTACAAAAATGTCTGGCTACAAGATCAACACAGATATTCATGAAAATGTGTCCCGTTTTGTTAGAGCGAAGCCTTTTTGTAGCCAATAATAAACGTTCATGCTTTCCTGCTCCCTGCAGCCATTAGGAAATGTATGCTGGTTCCACAAGACGTCCTGTCAGCTGGGACTTCCCTTTAAAGATGTTTAATGCCTTTGGTCATAATTGAAAAGGCTAATGCTATACATTGTGAGCGCTTGCTCCAAGTTAACCTATTGTGTTTTGGGCTAGGGCAATAGATAGGGCTGTGCGATTAATCGAAATCGCGATTTGAGACGTTGCGATTTGCTAATCGCAAAGCCTGCGATGTGGACGCGATATTACTCTGTTCCAGAGCATATGCATGACTGCCTGCCTTGAGTTGCAGTCTTACTTGCCCTGGGCAAGAGTGAGCGCACCTCCGTTCTCCCCAATCAGCACTGCTCTAGCCAACTGCGTAAAACACCCACCATTAAAAAAAGACAGAATGGGATTATGGCGTCTACTGGGTCAGATCGATAGTTAGGCAAATTAAAACTAAGAAAAACATATGCAACTTAAGCTTCGAAATGACAGACAGACAGCCGTCTGTGAATGCTTCTCATACTCGCTCCTTTCTTACCCCACGCGGCGCGAATCCCGCGTCACGGACGAGCCGTTCAT